TTTTTCTTATTTATTTTTTATTCGAATTCCGTTAAAAGAGTAATATGCGGATGGGTTGTTCGAATAGTTTTTTCAGATTAATAAATATAGATATATATACAATTTATTATTATTTTTTCGCGATCATAATTATTTGATCACTAAGTAATAAAATGAAATTGTCATGCAATATTTGATTGTATATAATTTATGCTTGTTTAATGAGATTTTTTTGTTTTTGTTTTTTTAGTTTGCACGAATGCAAGATATTGTCAAATTTGTACAAAAATTTCTCAATTCATTATGGTTTTTTTCTTCTTCTAAAATCAACAGATTTATACGGACAAATTTTTATCGATGTTTTATTTTCGTATAAATAATTTGTTGTTTTGTCGTTCGCTTGTATATCACTCTCTCCTCCCTTCCCCCCCCCCTCCTCCCCTTCCTATCCCATCGCATACGCACGCGTATTCGTGTAATACACTTATTTGCTTTCCGAATAAGGAGCAAAAGATTTTCTCTTTTAGTTATACCTTTTAAACCTGTTCGCGCTTATTATTATGCTATTGCGTGTTATGTTCGTAGGTAATATCGAACGTTTAGGAATGGAATTTATATCTTTCGATATATTAAAAATCATCACGAAAATTGCGCGGGCGCGCGCGTGGAAATTTCTAGTTGTCGAGTTAAATGGAGTTAAACGTTTATTTAAATTCTAGAATTAACGATCTCGAGTATGGCGATCGGTGTTACGAGATAAAGTACGCTAATTGGATAATAGGGAAGAAGATTATCGGAAGAGACAGAGGAGGGAGGGGAGAAGGAAGAGAAAAAGGAATATATAACGATCGCAAATCTCAATGGTAGATTATTTTGTTCGATCAAATTGAAAATCGATTTGTTCTCAAAAATTACTAATATTCGTCTCAAAAATTAATCTTTTTCGATTAAATTAAAAATGAAAAATAATAAAATAAAGATAAGCAGTAGTATTAATCTAATAGGCTAATAGATCCACCGACAATCTCTCATCCCCCCCACTCCCTCCCCCGATCCCCCGTCATATCAAATTATCGTCCATTAGATTAAGGTTCTTCGATGTTTAAAAGTCAAATTTTAAATTCGAATCGAAGGAACGAATTCTCGCCTAAACACCGGCCGGTTGATTGGGCCTAACCAACCAACCAACCAACCAACCAACCAACCAGATCGGATCAGACCAGATGATCGGAGTAAAGCAAAGCAAAGGAAAGCAAAAGACCAGAGAACAGAGTAGCAAAAGCGGAGAAACTAATTTGCGTTTTACCCTGCGAGAGCTTACTACTACGTCCTTGCCTCACCCCATAAAAAGACGCTCGGCACGCCGTAAAGACGACAAAGTCCGATTATACGCTTCATTGGAAAATCGTAAAGTTCTTCTTGACGGGTCTTTTTCTCTCTCTCTCTCTCTCTTTTTCTATCTCATACTCGTTGGCATCTGTCCCACTCTTGTAGTTTTAAACGAGAGAGAGAGAGAGAAAGAGATAGAGTGAGTGAGTGAGGAACGCGCCTATCTCGCTCTCGAAAATAATTTGCAACTTTCCCTCTAATGTGTATATTAGCCTTGCATTTACGACCGCTTTAAAAACCTAAAGCCGCATAAATTATTGTACTTTCGAATCTTTTTTATATATAATATATATACCACACACGCGTAACAGAGATATATATATATATATATCTCGAACGTTTGCACTCATCGTTAAAATGTTTCAACGAAAGGAAAATTGTGCGTTATAGATACTTGGTTGCATACAAACGGGGAATGAGTTTTGACCACGTTCCAGAAGATAATCTTATGTTAGGTATTAAAATACGTTGTTTAAAAAAGAAAAGAAACAATGGGGGATTCTTTTTCTCGTCTCTTTAAACGCCGTTTAAAAGAGAAAATAATAATAATAATAATAATATCTCGTTCGAAAATGATTTTAAATGCGATTACATCGAACTCGTTATTAAATCGAACTATTGTAAAAATATTTTATTTTGTTTACGTTTGGTTTTTAACCTGACGAAATTATTTCTTTCGTCTTCAGTCTTTCTTCAACTGTTCCAATGTTACCATAACGCAGCAAAATCGCATGGAAGGGGATGTGATATTTAGATATTTTTTATTTATTATTTATATATTTATACTGACAATTATTTTATCGAATATTTAACATACGTTTTTTTTTGTTTTGTTAAATGATTATGATTATGAAATAATACTAAACGAGCATAAGTACTTTATATTTATTTAATTACTCACATGAAGATATCCTCACTCGTAACGACCATAATTAATTAATCGTTAACTAACTTTTCCATTTTCTTTTGTTTTCATATTTACTACTACATACGCGCAAAATTAGCCGCCCAGCTTAATTCTGTCGTGCCATCGTCGCAAATTAATTCGAAATATCGAAAAGTCCTTTTCACTTTTATTAAAGAAGAAAAAAGAAGAGAGAGAGAGAGAGAGAGAGAGAGAGAAAAAGACCACATCGAGTATTATAATATATTTAATGAATGACTCGACAGGTGTTCCTACTCGTGATAAGCATAATCATTTGTTAACCACCCATTCCTTTCTATTCGTTCTTTGTAAAATCATAATAAGATAGATTGATGAGTTTCAAGTAAGGGACAAAACTTTTTCAAGGTACGTTATAATAGATATATCAGGTTCCCTCTGAAGACTTTTAAAGATTCGTCGAAAGGTCGAATTTGTTGAGTCAAGTGATAATGGTACTACTATAAGAGGAGATACCATAGTAGGTATTATAGAAACCACATAAAAGAAACAAGGCGAGGACAG